GATAGTTTCCTTAAAACAGTACCCTCAGTCATTAGTTCCGGGAAGGTCACGGATGTTTTTCCCAAGTCAGGCTAATAATTGATTGTTTTAAGGGAATCTGCTTTAGTTATGATTTGAAGGCTTACCATATTTAACGTTGATCCTTTTCCCAATTTTATTTTGATCCCTTTTTATTTTTATTTTGATATCTCACATAATATCACCATCACCAAAAACAAATTAGCAATATTCAACAAAGATAATCAAGATGTTTCGGTCCTTTAATATATATGTCAACCCTAGTGAAATAAAGAATAATTAATATTTTAGTACCAAATAATGTATCCCTTATAGTCTATGGTAACAACTTTTTTATTTAAATGGTATTATCACTTAGAATTAATGAAAGTAATTATATATGCAAGGGTGTTTGACGAATATCTCTTCCAAAATGGAACAAGTGTACGTGCAAGTTGGAACAGAAACAACAAATCTGTGGCATAAACACATAGGCAAAGGAAGGATCTAGGCTAGGGCTACAGCTGAGCTAGAATGGAGGAAGCCCAAACTGTTAGTATTGATAATTTTTGTACATGAATGAAATAAAATGTCATGTGGTTCTAATTGAAACGAAAGGCTAGGCTGAGTGTCTTTTTTTTTTTTCGTTTTTTTCTTCCTCGATCCTGTTGGAAGGCAAATTTTTTGCCATTGATTGCATAGACATCAATTGACATGATTCTCCCCTTCCCTAGAAAGTGCTGGTTAATTTGTCTTAGTGAAAAACGAAGAAAGTCAAAAAAAAAATGATGACCCCATTTTACAATTCAACCATGGAGTCCTTTTCCATCATAACACTTTGATTATGGGCATAATTTTTGGTCCTTATGAGATTTAGTCCAATTACTTTATTTTCCCCACGCAATATTAACACAACTCCAGTTCATAATAATTGTAGCAATTTCCCGTATCTGTCATCATTGTTGAATTTCATGCTACTTAGTTATCACGTTTTTGAAGCGGCAAGATTAGACAAGTTTTTTTTTTTTTCCTACTTGATCTTTAAAAAAAGTTTAGCATATTCTTTCTCTTTAATTCTACATGAAACATTTACCCATAATTTTATTATAGCTCTGATTTTCAAAATCCTTTCTTTCTAGTAAGCATTTATCTGCCTGGCTTTAAAAAGCAGTTCCATTATATGCTTGTCAAAAGGTGGATATGATTGATGCTGTAGCAACAACTATTCCAAAAAGTAAACTGGATGGTCAAGTTGAGAAAGGGGAGGGGACCCCAGCCATTGAATGACACATTCCTAACCAATGATTTAGATCACCTGCCCCCGTTCAACTCATGATGAAGCCTTTTTCCCTTCTTGACGCAAGCGTGGGAAGATAAAGATATTTAACTAACAAAAAAATCGTTTTGGACGGCAAACATTTTGCAAAAGGAAATTATCAGTCTACCCCCAAAACAATAACAATGATTAAAGCATGCTAATTCAAAATTAATGAGCCCGTAATGATTAGCTCATCTATATGAGGACTTCTTGGTCATTTCGAAAGTAAGGGCATTCATGTAATTTTCTGATATATCATCGGCTGCCCTGCGGCACTGCTGGCTAGGGACCAAGTTGCATGAAAACCTGGTGATAGAGATAGGCCCATTAGATAGGCTCAAAATTAACGGTTCACAGTGGGGGAATCCCAAGCCCCAGTCACGGCGAGTAAAGTTCAACCTGCGGGGTTAAGTGGCGAATGAGGGGAAGGTGGAGTGCACGAGGGGAGGGGGAAGAGTGGGGTGGAAGAGAGGGGGAGGCTCAAATGATTGTGAGGAAGAGAGTTGTCGGGGCGTGAAGGGACAAAGTGACACGCACGACCGTGCAGGTAGAAAGAGCAAAGGCTAGGTGGGGACCACAGAGCACGTGGCCCCAGGCAAGACATGTTGGTCCACGTGAGTTAAGAGAGGTTTTCTCTTCCACGCTTTCCCTTTCCCCTCATTTCTCGCACCCCCTCTCCCCACGTGAATTCCACTCTCCCTTGTCCCCTTTCTCTTTCTCTCTCTCGCCCCCCACGCACATACTTCACTTTTCTTTTCCTTTGGCTTCTCACTCAATCTTGACTTGGCCACATCCACCCTGCCAATGAGCCAAAGTCTTTCTAGTATCAGCCAAATTTCAATTAATGCCATTAATTATGCTAACCTTCTCTCTCTCTTCTCTTTTTTACTAATAGCCAACCTCTTAGTTCAGCATTGAGAATTCATCACTCTTTAGGATAATTAAGTGTAAATTCATCTCTTTTAAAAACATGCGATTATTATTTAAGTTCTTTTTTTTATTGGAAGGTTTAACATACAATTTTATAGCATCTTATACTTGTTCTTTAAAATTACTAAACAAAATAAGATGCATAGCCTAATTTAAATATGGAATATATTGTATGTTATCAACATCTAGTCTAGAACTTTTTTTGTATTTTCACGACAATATTGAGAGAATAAATTTTAAAATGAAGTTTAAGTATTATGAAAAATAATGATGTAACAAATGAGCAATTTAAATTCATGCTATTTAATTCATACTGTTCTTAAAATTAGTAAACAAGTTGGTATTGGAATTCTGATTGAGCATCAACTTAGCTAATAAATTAATAAAAAATATAAAAAAGTTATTAAATTTTCACGTCATATCATTGCTTTTGATAAAATACACATGCCATTTTTTATTTTACATGCATTTTTAAAAGAACTTCATACTATTAATTAAGTATTTTTTTTGTTTGGAAATAGAACTTTTATTCTTTTCAAATAGTAATATTATTTATTTCTTTCGTCCACATTGTGGGTGTGCTAGATCTAGTATATTTAAATCAAATTTAAGACACATTTTCTTTTGATTTTAATGATATAGTAACGTTGTACGTTGCGACTTGCAAGTTATTGTAAAAATGCCTATTTTTCGTTCATAAATCATGAGAATCAATAATTGGTCTCACGTTGATCATAACGGAGCCGATCAGGTCGCAGCCACCAAGCCGCATGACAAGTTACATACACAAGGACCAGTTTCTCCTCATAGGGCTCCCCAGACGCACAGTTCCATGAGTCACGATCGCGCCTCATCTTCCGCTATGCGATCAATCCAGACCATTCGTTCATCGAGCGTGAAATCTACTCTCCGGGTGCGCATCAGACAACATTTGGAAAAAGGAATGAAAGCGTTTTTGTTTTAATAGAAAAGGTTAAGAAAGCGACGCCCTTGTCTTAGTAGCCCCCCTCTCCCCCCCCCCCTAGTGGTACTCGCATGGGATAGGTGAGATTTTCAAAAGATAAGGGGGCCGGGTTTGGGGCCCACACTCATGTTTTCTATTGATATCTTTTGCACATCTTAAAAAAGTTGGATTTTTTTTTTGTAACTTATTTAAAAATAAAAAATGAATTTAAAATATAAAAGAAGGAGTATTAAGTATTCTAAAAATGAAAAGAAAGAATAAATTTAAAATTGATGAAAGGAAAAAAAGTTTATCTGTCTGGTTCCAATCATCACCATCCACTCATGATTTGATGGTTGTCCAAAGCGTCAGTGGCATTGGTTCCCAATTATACACAGCACAAGATAACATGGCCCCACAAATGGGTTTGATCAGGGACTGTTGATTATGATGTGAGGTGGGATCAAGGCCGTTGTTGAGAGGCAGGAAGGGCATGGAGAGTGAGGTGTTCAGGTGGAGGTTGTGGCCCACAGCTTGAATGCACAAGATTCATGATATTTGGGTTTGCTGGTCTTTTCTGGTTGGGATTCCGAGACAAATAATGAGAGCAATCTGGTTGCATTAATTTTAGGTTGGTTTGGGCTGGCAAAAACCCTTCTGCATTAATTATGGCATTTAGAGTTATACTTTTTTCAACATTCCTTTTCCAATATTATTATTTTTCCCATTCATATTTTAACCATTTTTGGTTTCTTTGATTGGCAACTAACCTCAAATTTGATACCCCCACGGAATTTCCTTTTCAATTTTGAGGGACAATCATGATATCCCAGCGATATGATTTTGACAAATCTTTTGTTAATGACATTTTTGAATCACGTTTGCGAATTGTAGACTAAATGTATGATTGAAGAAAAAACGTCAGTTATTATCAAAAAACATAAAATAAATAAATAAGAACATAGGCTATGCATGTTTTTATTCATATTTTATTTTTAAAAAATGGGTTTTTTTTATTTGACTTGTGACAAATTTTGTGTTTGATTATCATGCCATCAAAAGCATGGCTTTTAAATTTCAGAAAATTTAATAATTTTAAGAGTCAAAGTTGTGAATCATGCCTTGATGATCACAAATTTTAACTGCTCACCAAAGCGTGCTAAATGCCACTCCAATTGGAATGTTGCATGCAATGGAAGTTAATCAAAGTTTGGTTGTACATTAGGTAAGCACACATCCCTTCCTCTACCAAGCAATCCTTGTGTTGTGTCTTTCTCATTTGCTTAATTTACTCAATTGCTAGCTAAGAACAAATAGTATTAACAATTAATTTCCTCCTACTTTTTTGCACCATTGCTGTTATTTTTTGGTGGGTCAAAGTATAAATGGTAGATAATAAAATGGAGTTAATTTTGAGAGTCTGTAACTATAATTATGTTTTGACTGATTCATAAACTAAAAAGGGTACTTTGTCAATTGCACATTTAAGTTTTTTCTTTATGGTAAACTCCAATGAAATCAAAATTTCAGTTATATTTTTGCTAGGAAGCTGTCAGCAAAGTGGCAGTAAACACCAAGGAAAGTGTAGAAACAGTAGATAGAAGAAGTTTGGCCATTTAACCATGGTGAAGGTGAAAAGGAAGGGAGAGAGGGAGGGAGGGGGAGAAGACAAAGGAGCAGAGTTAGGTATTATTTTGGGGAGCAAAAGCCATGATTGAGATAATTGGCCTCCTGACAACAAGTCATGATTGAACTTACACCCCACTCTCTCCTATTCTCTGCTTTCTATATAATCCCGTATTCCACCCTCTTACACACCCATCAGCTTTCAACTCTTTCTCTCTCTTAAAACTCCAAAACCAAAATCTTTTCCTTCTCACACTCCCTCTTTCTCTCACTCTTGTTCACACCAAAGAGAATCTAAGCTACTATACAAGAAAAAGCTGTGTTTGGCAAGAGCAGAAAAGAAGCAAAAAAAAAAAAAAACAATAATGATGGTGGGAAAAGAAGATCTGGGTTTGAGTCTGAGCTTGAGCTTCCCTCAGAATCACCACTCTTTACAGCTGAATCGAAGACCTTCTCTGGTTCCATCCTCTGCTAATTCTTGCTCTTCTCCTTCTGGTTTAACGCTTCAAAAACCATCATGGAACGATGCCTCTACTCCTTCAGGTATGTTTCTTGCGGGCACTTCTTTTGTCTTTGCATGGGACATCAGCTTTCAGATCTCGTTTTCATTTTTCCATACTTTTTTCTTTTCCTTTGGTTTCCCGAGAACCAAACGGAAGCTTAAACGAATTAATTTCTTTTCCTTTTTTTTTTTCTAATGCTTTGGTATCATTTTTTTCCTTTTAAATTCAACCCAACTAAAAAAAATTATTACTTTCTTTGTTACTTTTTTCATGTTTGAAGTATCTTTTTTGACAATCGTTTTCACTTGCACTTTTCTCATGTTCACATGCAAAAGCCTCTAAATCTGATACTTTTCTCTAGATCTCAGCCTCAAAAACCAGTTTTTTCCCCCTCTGTGTTTAGACAAAATACCCAGCCTTTTTATCTGACAAGTATGGTCTTTGCATGCAGATCCTATCTCAGAATCTTACCGGGCCGAGACAAGATCATTTCTTAGAGGAATCGACGTGAACAGATTGCCATCAGCGGTCGATTGTGAAGAAGAAGCTGGAGTTTCATCTCCTAACAGCACGATATCGAGTGTAAGTGGAAAAAGGAGCGAAAGAGAAGGTAATGGAGATGAGCATGAGATTGAAAGAGCATGTTCTCGTGGCATCAGTGATGAAGAAGATGGTGACACCTCAAGAAAAAAGCTTAGGCTTTCTAAAGATCAGTCTGCTATTCTTGAAGAAAGCTTCAAAGAACACAACACTCTCAACCCAGTAAGTAATTTGAACAGAATCTATCAGATAAAAATTACTGTTTGGTTGCTAAGAAAAAAAACCCTTTGGAAAACTAAAAAGGGAAAAATTTAGCCTTATGGATCGTTGAGTTTGACTTATCTGACGGTGTAAGATAAGAGAAGGTTCTAGATGTCAGTTACAATTTTCTTGGTAACCAAACAGATATACTTGGAGGGTATTTTGGTATCTATGCTCATAAACGTATGGCTATTGTTATCTTCGCAGAAGCAAAAGTTGGCTCTGGCTAAGCAGCTGGGATTGCGACCCAGACAAGTAGAAGTGTGGTTCCAAAACAGAAGGGCAAGGTAGGAGATCTCCCACCATTTTTTTAAGGGGCAATGTTAGAAATTTACGCAAGTGACAGTTATGTCCTTTTGAAGTAACACTATTTACTGAATATGGGACTGGAATTCTCTTTGCAGGACCAAGCTGAAGCAAACTGAGGTGGACTGTGAATTCCTTAAGAGATGTTGTGAGAATCTGACGGAGGAGAACAGGCGGTTGCAGAAGGAAGTTCAGGAGCTGAGAGCACTGAAACTTTCCCCGCAATTCTACATGCAAATGACCCCACCGACCACCCTCACCATGTGCCCATCATGTGAGAGGGTGGCGGTCCCACCCAACGCATCATCCACCGTCGATCCACGGTCCCATCAGCTGGCCCAGACCCACCACAGGCCCATCCCAATCAACCCGTGGGCCCCAGCTGCCCCCATCCCACATGGACCGTTCGATGCTCTTCGTCCTCGATCGTAAATTAAAACGCGATCCACAAGTGCGTTTTGGTCAAATGGAAAAAGAATCATGCTTGCGTACGGAGAACAGTGTAATAGCGTACCGATTTCCATGTTCAAAGGTTTTAGGTCTAAGATATGGTGGTTACAATGTGATTCTGGTGGGTCTTCATGTTTTGTATTATTGGACCCATCTAAACCCTTTTTTTCGCCCCCAAGGTTGACATATTTAATTAGCTTAATTTTGGTGTTAATTAGTGATGCTAATTACATCTTCCTCCTCCATTTTGAGTGGTAGGGAAGAGAACTTTGGGTGTAAAGTGCAAATGTCTAATTATTAAATTTGACCAAAGCTTAAAAGCAAACGCCTGTGCTTCAAGTTCCAATCAGGTTACAAGGAATCTCTCTTTTTGTAATTTCCCTTTTACAATTTGGAGGTTTGGGGATTGTGTGGGGACAATTAAACCCCCGTTTTTGAGCAAGGGTTTGTATTTTAATTGTGAACATTGGTCCTAATTTCCGGGGTCTTTGCCAAGCACTTGAACAGAGTGTTTGAGGAATACTTAATATTCTTTAATCATGTCTTAAACCCACTTTGTCTAATAAAGTATGATGAACCCAAAATCTAAAACGTAGCTACTAGTGTATGTCTTTTGTTTTCGTGAATTGGGTAAATTCCTCCAGGTGTGGGATGAGGGAAGAACAGTGCAAATGGTGGAGATGCCCTTTTCATTGGCTTATTTAAGGGATTCTATTTTAGTTTCAATCCTTTGCAAATACGGGCATGATTCAAACCCTTATCTCGTGTACTGTGGTCTGGTGTTCCAATCACGCAAAACCTTTAGGATAAAAAAATAATAATAATAAAAGAGAAAGTCACGATCACCTCCCAACAAACTCTTGTACAGTGTAGAAAAGGTTTTGAAATGACAAGCACCACGCTTTTGTTCTTCATCTGTTTGGGTCAGCAGACTTGAAAATTCTTATCAGCTATAGAGCTGTGCGTCTATGAATCAGCTTATCTATAATTGAACTTGTAAAGAGCACCACAAAAGAACAATATAACTTTTTAATAATTGACAGGCTACCCAATTTTTATTCTACCTGTCCTCACTCCCATGTTACATAGTTCAATCGGCATTTCGCCCTGCTCTGTTTTGTTATTCTTTCCATAAAATAATCAGGTAAACAATGTAGGATTTGCTTATTGACGGGGTAGCCCGTAGCCTCCAATATGTTTTCCCCTGTTGGGCAGGAAGCTGTGGATTAACAGTATAACACGTTCAACTTGCTTTCCACTGTAGAAAAACCCACCATTTAAATGGCATTTATGGACATCCGCACCCAACTCACGAGATAATGTCTGTTTTGATATGAAATGCCTCATAATTTTATACATTCGTAATCTATTTATTAGATATTGTCTATAATGATCTAAAAAGTCTTATGATTGCATGCAAAAAATAAATAAATACCTTCACAGGTATAAATATAATTTTACATTTATATTATAAAATATTTTCATATTTTCTTAATATAAGATTAAGTGTGTCACAATTTTATTATATTCTTATCTCGTTGAAATTATAATGTTTCCATCAACCCCAACACATCTCATGATCTCACGATTATTACAGATGTGACTCTTACAAGTTCGATAGGTGACTTCATTGTGCTTGTAGAGACCTATGTCTAACCTATAAACTGTTGTTTGTTTTGATTCAAAAAATCTCACGATCAAAGCAAATTCTCACAAATCTTAATGTGGGATTGAACACATTACAATCTCCACCCACTAAGGTTTTGATATCCGTATCACGCCTAACACATTACACTCAAAATCAAACCAAGATCATACCCAGTGATTGGGTTTTAGAAATGGCTTATTCTCCACTTTAAACACGATCTAACACTTTGCCTCATGTAACACTTCACTTTCGTATTCCTAGTAATGAAACTTGGTTCTAATATCAATTGTGAAGAAAGTTTTATTTGTTTTGATCAAAAGAGTTTTACGATTTTATTTATAAAAATCACCTTATAAGTATAAGCTTATATATATATATATCATAGAAGATCTTCACAAATTTTCAATGTGAGATTGGGAATATTATAATTTTCTTCCATTAATATGTTGACGTCCTTGTCAAAGCTCAACACATCATGTGGCTAACACAAGTTCAAGAGGTAACTCCAATCATGCATATGCGATATAGCACTTAACTCTCACATTTTTGGCTGATAATTACTTTGATATTAACTATAGAGACTCTCATCTAATTTGTGAGTATTTTTCGTTTTGACTTATATTGTCTTATGGTTTTATTTACCAAAAAACATTTTATTATTAAATTTAAATTTATATATATATATATATATATATATATTCTTACAAATCATCGCCGTTAAATTGGAGGCCTTACAAAGACTACTTTAGCATCTTGTCACAAGACCTGGGGAAAAGCGAATCTTGGATAATAAATGTGAGGGACATGCCATGCCTTTCTTAAGAAGTTCAGGAGCATTCGAGCCATATATTCTTCTGATTATGGCCAACGCAGCAAAATCTGTTAGGTATCAGCAATTAATTCCCTGGTTCTGTAGATACAGTGGATTGTCTTAAAATATCTTCAGGTACTACAACATTGTGTAGTTCTTTTTCCTGTCTAACTGACCGGAGGGAAAATCTCACTGCCGTCACGGTGAAAACGTAAACCCAGTTTGTTCCTTGTCATGTAAAAAGTTTTAAACCTGAATGCAGGGACTCGATTATCTATCACATATTCTGCTCCCTGACTAGATTGTGGGCTCGCAGACACATTCCTATTACCTAGAACAGGTCCTTAGTGGACCTTGAATCCGAAATCTAGGGCACAGGGCACTAGATTATGTCTCAGTGTGGTCCTAAGAGTTATCACAATTTGAGATCGTATTGATTCTCTCCTTGAATCGAACAGATATGTAAAGTGCCCTTCGAAATGTGAATGCCCCCAAGTTGTAGGAATTTTCAGTCACCAATCTGTAGAGACTATTGCTTTAGAATATGCCACAGAATAACATTTTATGACTCTAGGAATTTGTATAGACACTGCCGATCAAGAAAAGAAAATTTTTGTGGGCACAAGTGGCTATGGAAAAGCTGGAAACAAACACATTGTGTTGCAGGAAGTAAAGAACTGAATATTGATTTTCACAAGAGCCTGTCCTCCAAAATTTTCATTCTCTATCAAGCTTTTTGATTTCAACAAAAATTGCTCTCTAGGGAAGAGCTTGTGCTATCCATATTTCCCATTTGCTAGAACTGTTGGGTACATTAGGTACAAGGGAAGTGCCGAGTTTGAACCCTGCCCACCTCCCCCCATTTCCCACCGAAGGATGAGAAGGGTGGGTGGGCTGTGGTCCTTTGAGGACATTTTGGGTTTTGACAGGGTTCATCAAGAAGGAAAGCCCACCAAAGCAGGAGTGTTATTCACCGAAATGCATTTGGGTCAATTTGTGCATCAAGCCTTAAAAACCCACAGTAAAAGTGGGCCGATTCGAATTTTCAGCAACCTTCTCAGCTCAGCTTTTGGCAGTCGTGTTCCGTATGAGGCGGCATCGAAGAGAATTTCACATCGGCCTTTCACTCTGAGCTGTTGGCTACAAGAATAGGTATAGGAACGTATATGGTCTTCAATGTTTCAAGACTGTTTCTCTTTGGTGGTGCACTAAATTTCCTATTTGGCAGAGATAGTGATGCTTTTATGGGCAATTAACAACGGGAAAATGAGGTTGTGAATTGACTAACTAGACAAAGATCGATTCGCGCTTATTTAAAGCTGATCTTGTTAACATTGCAAACACTGTTATGTAAACTGTAATGATATCCAAATTACAAGCTTAGCATTCTTTGCTTGAACTTGGAAAGAATATATGCTTTGCTTTAGACTTGAGAACAAGTTGCGTAATATGAGGGAAAGGGAGAGGAAAAAATGAAAAAAACACTTCCAACTGCACATAGATTTGAACTCATTGCTGGTTGTTGTGCATCATCCAGCAGAATCGGTTTTTCCCATTTTCTTCAGTTCTCGAAGTTAATTATATAAAATTAGCCTAAATTTGCTTTCCACTGTGATTAGCAGACTTGAAACAGAGTTGTTGTAAACTGTTTCCGGTTAGATGAAGTTAACCATGCAACTCAGAACAAGACAGCATCTGAATCGTAGTCACAATTTTTCCATGCAAAGAGAAGCTCAGCGTAAATGAGTTTAACTTTTCACTATGCCAATAACTTTTGGCTTTAAGAAGGCTGAGGTTTAGGGTCTGCCATTAGAGTGGATGGGAATTGGGAGAAGAACAGCAGATTTATGAACTGGAATACAATAGAAACAGCTTGACTCTTTAGCACCCTTCTTCTAATTGCTTTCTCAAGGTTTCAAGGATAAAAAGTTGAAAAGTATCAAGTATGGGCATTTAAAACTGAACAAAGACACTAATCAACACATATTCTTTAGTCTTAATTGGCCTTTTTTTCCTTAATCAATTTTTTTTTCTGGAGCAACAATCCATAGCCTATTGTCATGACAAAATTTCAATGGAGGCGTGACATATTGAAAAAGCTGTATGTTCTGCGATCATCAGCTTGTTGAGCAACTGAAAATCTGAATTCACACTAGGTCAAATGCATTGGAAAAAGACTATTTTTCCTATTCAATTACATCAATGCAGGAGATGCAATAACCAACACGTTTGAGAACAGAAACAATTCTCCAATGCGGTTGCTGGTTACATGAAAGAAACCCGGACTATGTATGCCATGACCTTATATTCAAAAAGGCCTTCAGTCAAGCTAGAAGCAGAACAAAAGGAAGAAGAAAAAAGGTTGAAATACCGAATACAAATTCATCCTGTGAAATATCCAAGGCTTGATGTCTCTTTAACTTTACTTTGTAGAGTTCCTCTTCATCTGGCCACTCGATCTCTTAATTGAGTCAATCCTCTGAAGCCTGATCTGCTCTCTTACTTTGGCTATGAACTCATCCGCCTTCTTATCCACATCAGAACCTCCATCTATGCCACTGTTCGGACTAGCTTCCTCATTGTTTGGACTTCTTTCGAAGCTTGAAACAAAGGAAGTATCACCAACTTCCTCATTCTCGCTTTCTGAGTCATCATCAGTGGTTTCCATAACCAACTTTTCAACAAATGCTTGTTTCTCCTCCTGCGGGAATTCCATGAAAGTTGGCTGTGGCATAACACTGACACTTTCACGGTTCAGCTTCTCGGTCCTGAATGATGTTTGATCAAACCTCACTGTCTTGCCATTGATCCCGTTCTCAATTTCACCATCTTTCCTTGATCCGCTAAGCAAATCACTTGGCCGAAGCATCCTAACTAACTTTCCCTTGGACAAACCATCAACATAGTCCCTTTGTGTCCCCATTAATGTGTCTCCATCAGAGTCTTGGCTTGCATAGTTCCAAGGCAAATCCATATCGAAGGAAAGCTCTTCATCAATCAAGGTAGAACTTGGTTTCAGTGATGATGATTTGTGAATTATTGGTGGGGGTGGAGGTGGTGGTGGTGGGGGAGGAGACCTGTAAATGCTCTTTTTCCTCACCACATCCTCTGCACTCTTGGTTTGTGCTTCCATTGACAAAGAAGGAGAAGGAGATGACTTCTTTGGCGAAGATAGAGGTGGTGAAGGGGACAACTTTGGAGAAGAAGACAGGGAACTGGATCGAGACAAACGATTAGTTTGTGACCTAAAGGACCGAGATTCAAGCCTATTGAATTCAGATTCAATATCATCTTTCACTTCCATTCTTCCAGATCTTGAGCGCCAAGGAATTGGTGAAGGGAGAACAACATTATTCCCATTCAACTTCTTCTCCAAAGCATCTTGATCCAATCCTCCCAATGCCCCATTTGTACCTTTATTTGAAAACCTTTTGGAACTAAAACTAGAATTAGACCTACTGAGAGAGCTAGAATTTGCACTATTTTCCCTCCTTGTCTCAAGATTATTCGCGTCCAAAACACGCGATTTCAAGCTCCTAACAGGCAAAAGCAAAGGCTTTTCGGAGATTCTAGAACTAGAACTTCTCTGTTCATCAAGAACAGCATGTTCTTTTGCTACAACAACAGGAGGTTCATTCCTATAGTATTGGTTACTCCAAGTCTGGACCTTGCTTTCGTCAGACCCGGATAAATTTTCAGCTTCATCGTCGAAAACGGATGACACCTGAAGGAATCTAGACACGAAAGATTGTACATTATCAAACTTAGACTGGTTATTGTTGTTTTCTTTCTCTATTTCATCATTTCGCCGGCTAAAAAGCCCATAAGAAACGGCAATCCCAACTAATAGAAGGTGGAGAAGCTCCCAGCTTCTGTTTAGTAGAGTTTGGTTGATGAATTCAGGTGCTTGTGAGGGAAAAACTGGGATTATAACCAAAAATATTATGACTACGACAGCTTTGTTCAGGAAATGTTTATAGTACTTACTCGGGTTTGCTGGGTTTTGCGCTTTTACTAGCTGCTGCCTTTTGGTGTAGGAGTCTGTATCTGCCATTGATGAAGATAGATCAAAAAAAAAAAAAAAGAAGAGGAGAGGAAGGTTTTTTCTTGTTTTCTTGGTAAGCTTTGTTTGTGCCAAAGAATATGGAGATGAGAAGGAGGAGATGAAAAGAAGACTTAGGGGTTAAGGAAAAGTGGAGAATGAGGAAAGGCAGAGAAAGTGGAAGAGAGAAGAGGCAGTGGGAGAAGTGAGCATATTTAAAGCTAAGCTTTGGTTTGCTTTCAAGTTTTTAACGGTTCTTTCAGCAAATGACATGTATAGCCTCACCACCCTTTCTCTCTGTTACTGCTTTTCTTTTATTTTATCTGATATATAATCCTGAGGATAAAGCCTTCTCTGGGCTCAATTTTCATCCGATGCTTTTCTTTTCTCCATTTTTCTTCTCTGCTTTTTAGGTAAAGGTGGTTGAGTTGATGGATTTAGGCTGAAATGATGAACAACTAAGAGTGAGAAAATTAAGATCATACAGTCAAGTGATCCTGTTATTCTAATTTTTGCACTGAGTCTTTCCATGGTTAAGTTGTAAAAGCTGCCAGGCACGTCATGCCACTTTAACAAGTCTAAAAGCCAGGAACTTAGTTTGAGCTTAGTACCATCATCAAATAATCAAGTCCTTATCATTTTAAACTTTTTGTTTGTGACAGTTTGGAGGCAGAACCTGCATTTCTGAAATGTGAGGCAAAAAGTTAGAAGCTAAGGATGAATTTGGTTGCTGAGCTGAAGATTTTGCTTGGTGACTCATGCTTCAGAGAAAAAGGAGATGAATCTAGGTGGAAATGCTATCTCAAATGGTTAGAGATCAGACTTTGATCAGCCTAAAACACTTGCATTATTTGATAAAATCCATCCATTCCTTTTCTCACTTTATATCAGCATCAGGTAAAAGCAGGAAAAAAAAAAAACCTATGGTCCAGTGGTTCAGTAAGAGCTAAGAGCTGGTGCAACATAAATCACACGCATCAACAATAAAATTCATGAAGTTTCTTCAAGCTATATATTCTTGTGAAAGGTTACCTTCAATCCCATGTTCTGGTTGACAACTTTCCATGACTGAACTATATATGTTTTTTCCCAGAAAACATGAAAAAAAACTGAGAAAGGAAAGGACTCAGCCATGTATTTCAGAATATGCAAAATTAGGGGGACAAAAACAAAGAGAAAAGAATCTGGGGTGGGGATATTGTGGGAATTAAGGATAAAGCAAGGGGCAAATGGGTTGCGTCTAGAGGGCCAAGCCAGGATTCTTCTTTTGGACTGCGTACGCTAGCTTTTTTCTGTGGAGGCCATAAAGAAAAAAAAACTGTAGAATTAGAAAGGACAGTGTCTGCAATTTAGGAGAGGGGAATGCTTTTCTTAGTCTGTCTACTCACTCCATTCTTGCATTCTGCATTTCTTCATTCTATTCCTATATCTGGACCTGATATTTAGATGCTCTTAAGGGCCACGCAGTGACTTGGATATACTTTAATTTAATATCAACTTACATTCTTAATTTATTAATTAATTGAAGGAGTGAACCAGAAAGAAGAAGAAGCTGGTGGTCTTCCCCCATGCCTAGTCATTTCTTCATCATCACTTCATCAGCATATTTGGAAGATTGGAACAATCTTACTATGCAGGATTTTATATATTGACCAAGAAAGTTCTGGGCTTCATACTATTTTATAAATATATTCTTCGCCTTGATATATTCGATCTTGGCCCATTTTAGGTTCTTTTGCTGGGAAAGTCTCTTCATGCTGATATTTAATATTTGGATAGAATTCTCAAGCATTTCTTGTCCTCTTCCATTTTTATTTCAAAAAATAAAGAAAAGAAAAGAGAGATGTCCGACGTAGATTGACCAATGATTTTGTCCTAATAACAGAACAACTCTAAGCAACAATATATTCCCATTGTGAAGCTAAGAACTGGTTCAACCATTTTGTCGTTTCTTTGATTTCCATTTAGCTTTCTTGCTATGTATTATTCTGTCAACATTTTTGGCTGAGCAGATGAAGGGAGAAGCTAAGTTATGATTAGTGGGATTCAGTGTAGTTTGTAATAAAAACAGCTGGTTCTGTTTGATGGGGATGTTAATGGTGGAAATGTGGGCGTGGTTCTTGGAATATTCTGGTTCCTCTAAACTGATAATATTGTTTACTTTCTTGTTACATGCACTGACAAAAATTAATTCATGACACTGTACCTGTCCTTCAAAGATTTGAAGGGAATTGGTAGATCTTAGTTGGCAGTTGCATTTTCAGTTCATCAAGTCCATACAACTACAAAGGTATAGTTCAGCAAAAAAGAAGTTCAAAACGAATTTTGATAGGTGTTCAAAATCAACATCAAATATGTTTGCTATCAATAAGCAGACGATGCTTCTGAGAAGAAACTAGCAGACTCTAAGCCTTTTCACTATAAACAAAGTTACATGCTTGAGTCATCCTTCCCACATGCTTTTAAAGGATTTGAACACCCGAGAGCTATGTGAAGGGAGCTGCCCATGCATGTTAAATAACAGGCAAATTTAAGCAATAAGAATTAAGAGATGATAATCCTCATTAAGTGAGCAAGGGTGATAAGGTATCCTTCCTTTCTCCAATTTGTGGCCGAAAGCCAAGTAGGTCGCAATGCATCTGATTCTCTCGGCCTTTTTGACACACAAATTTACCACTCTCTGTTTGGGGTTGGCACTTTTTTTGGGCTTCTACCTCTTAAGTGTTTGGGCCACTAATCTGGTTAGATTATCCAATGTTAGACTATACATTTTGTCCTAATTATTTAAGCTTGTCTAGACGTCCTTCTTCCTCGAATATGCCTAAGCATTTTGTTGAACTGAAGTATGGGACCGTGGTTTTCTTTTCTAGCTTGAGCCTTGAGCTCAGTTCATCATCAAAACAAACAATCATTTTCCTCCAAAACAACACCATAATAAATGTTTTTAAGTATTCTCAATTTAATGTTTTTAGTAAGATATTGATATAAACACTGGTAAAATTGTTGCTTAATTCACTTCCTTTATTTATCTTATTAAAATGAATGGATAAAGACAAAGTGAGTTGAGCTATAAAGATGTTGAGCAATCGTCTTTCTCATTCTATGGATATACTCATGGTGATAATAAATGAGTTGATCGTGCAGTACTCGGCCGTCTTCGAACAACTCAGTACATCCTTATTCTCGCCAAAACTCAGCCATCTATCTCTCAGGTAAGATTTCCCCCATTTTGTTTTTTTCTACGATTAGGGTTTAACCAACAGTTACACTTTCAAAGCCCCTAAATTCCCACCCCAAACCATGCCGATTCTTTCACTCTCCCGCTTCATTTCAATCTCAATTTCCTCAAAACCAAATAAGGTTTTCACTTTTCTATTCAGCACAGCCTCTTCAGCAGACAAATTCTTCACTCATTTACAGAAAAAACAGAGCAACATAGAGAAGACCCTAGCTTTAGTCAATTCCAAACTGGACTCGAATTGTGTCTGTGAAGTGCTAGAAAGATGCTCCTTTGATAAATCTCAAATGGGTCTGAGGTTTTTTATATGGGCAGGTCTTCAATCAAATTATAGACATAGCTCTTATATGTATAGCAAAGCTTGTGAATTTTTGAAAATTAAGCAAAACCCGTGTCTTGTTTTGGATGTTATTGAAGCCTACAAGGTGGAAAAGTGCTTAGTTAACGTTAAAATGTTTAAGGTTGTTTTGAATTTGTGTAGAGAAGCTAGGATTACTGATGAGGCTTTGTTGGTATTGAGGAAAATGCCTGAATTTAATTTACGACCGGATACCACTACTTATAATGTGGTTATTAGGTTGATTTGTGAGAAAGGGGATATGGATATGGCTGATAAATTGATGAAAGAGATGGGCTTGATTGATCTTTATCCTGATATGATCACGTATTTGGTGATGATCAAGGGGTTTTGTAATGCTGGTAGATTAGAGGATGCTTGTGGGCTGTTTCAGGTTATGAGGGAGCATGGGTGTTTTCCAAATGCGGTGGCATATTCTGCTCTTCTCGAGGGGATTTGTAGGTATGGGAGTGTGGAAAAGGCATTGGAATTGTTGGGGGAGATGGAGAAAGAAGGTTATGGTTGTAGTCCAAATGTTATCACATATACATCTGTGATTCAAAGTTTTTGTGCGAAGGGTCAGACAACAAAGGCATTGAGGATTTTGGATAGAATGGGAGCTTGTGGGTGTGCTCCTAATCGTGTAACAGTTAGTACTTTGATCAAGGGGCTTTGTGCCGAGGGACATGTTGAAGAAGCTTATAAGTTGATTGATAAAGTTGTTCCTGGAGGTGGCGTTTCGGATGGTGATTGCTATAGTTCGCTTGTGGTGTCTTTGATAAGGATTAAAAGACTTGATGAGGCAGAGAAGCTCTTTAGGAAGATGTTGGCAACTGGGGCTAAACCTGATAGCATTGCATGTAGTGTCATGATTAGGGAGATCTGTCAAGCAGGACGGGTGCTAGATGGTTTTTGCTTATATGAAGAAATCGAGCGGATGCGATACTTGTCTTCCATTGACTCTGATATCTATTCTATTCTTTTGGTTGGCCTTTGTCAGCAAAGCCATTCAGTTGAAGCTGCAAAGCTTGCTAGGTCAATGCTTGAAAAAAGAATTCGCTTGAAAGCTCCTTATGTTGACAAGATTATTGAACATCTGAAAAACTGTGGAGATAAGCAGCTAGTCACTGAGCTTGGTAGGATAGGAAGGTGATATTATCAAACAATTGTTCACATGCCTTGGAGGGCCTTCTTTTCTGGTAAAAAGTTTCTGTTTGATAAATTAGTAATTTAATTAAAGAGGGAAAACATCAGGAATAAGAATTTTAGCATTTGCTTTCACTGTAACCATACAAAGACACAACCGAGGATTCTTATAATCCTCAATAAAATAAGCACCTTAGAAGTGAATGATGGTATTTTTAATAGAATTGCAGGATTTTATTCAGGATGATCCCGGCTTTAATGAGAATACAGCTAAGTCAAGTTGTTGTTTTTCCACTTTATGTCATGTTCTAAATGGATTATAGGATGCTTCTTTTTTTTTTTTCTCAATTGTGTGTGCTTTTTTAAATTTCAAATATTATCTTGCATAATTAAAAGCCTCATCTTGTGAACTTTGTAGGGGTTAAGATCACAATTTACACTATTAATCTTTCTCCTGTTGATCAGCCTAGCTTGTGTATCCTGAAGGCTGAAGCAATTTGTATTAGGATACTACCTGGCTAAGGAAAGGCATAGATGCATGTCAGATTGCTGAAGGATTTTATAAAGCCATCTGATAGAGAAGCTGTTTAGTCCATATTGTCTTTTCAAATTTGGTAGGGAAAGAAAATAAGTTACTGCATGGCAAACCAACAATTGTTGCCGTGTAAAGGTCAAAATGTCAAGACTGTGGAGTGGATAATGCAATCTGAAATAAAGTTTCCTTCTTCAGAACTTATTGAAAGTCATTTTAGTATTTTGTAGGTTTAATTTTGCCCGGTTATATGTATATTACTTACTACTTAGTATGGAACAGTGATCGAGATCAGAGAATTTGGACAAGGATAATTGAATCCATAGTTTAGTCTATATTTGCAAGTGGTATCTCTATTGATAATACAGATTGCTGAAGGTTTTGATAACTTATTTTAATTCGACCAATCTGAAGTATTACACAAACATTATGTGTAAGGGATGCCCTGATGCTTAATCACTGTATCAACAACTACTGAAATGTTGGTGGTGATAAGGCTTTTATTCCCCTCTCCTTTTTCATGTTTTATATGAATGTCTCTGTTTCTTACTTTATGTGACTTTATGATGCTGTCTGTCTTTCTGTCTGTCCCTCTCTCTCTCTCTCTCTCTCTCTGTAGATGGAGAGAAAAGAACTGCAATCATTGTTCCTACCTGCAGTATTGAGTGATTCATGAGCTTTGTTCATCCTGGGGAGAAAAAAAAGAAGAGAAAAGTAATCCGGGGTTTGCCAAATCTATGTAAGTAGGCATCATGAGTAATCCCAGGAAAGAAGGAACAAATTGCTCATGTTCCCCAACTGATTCATTCATTTGGAAATATGCAATGCGTCAAGACGTGGTGTTCTGTTTTCTTCTTGACAAATCCTCAGAGAATCCATATTCCTTGATAAAAGGAAAGTGCGAGGAACAGAGAGCGTCCACCTCTCGTTGTCTTTTTGTTGTACTCAGTTAGCAAACTTGTTACCTAGCTCTTAGCATTTTTGGTTCTTAGAGATGCTGAAACGTTCAATGTTTTCTCTAGGCAGAGCTAACATTTTGCTGTCACATGAATGCATAGTTCATTAGTTCTTGTCATTTACTTAAACAGGCTAAATTCCACTTACCCTTTCCATTGTTATAATGCTGTAATTCCAAGTTATTGTCATTGTTTTGTCTTTTTGGTACGAATTGGATAACAGTATTTAAAAGGTTAGGAGTACCCCAACTTTGCCACCTCCCAATTTTGCTTTCAGCTCTTGGCTGTGAATCAACGGACGGTTGTGACATAATCCATTCAAAACTGGACGTCAATTCTTAATTAAGTTTAGGACTCTAATGCTTTTAATTAATTTAGTTATGCAAATTTGTCATTCAAATTTAAATTTGTAAATTTTTATTTTTTTAAAAAAATGTAAATAATTTTGCATTTCTGTCACTTAATTGTGTATATAAATATTTTGTTTATCGTAGTTTATTATATCATTCAGCATGTCATCGTCACAGAAAATTGATAAAAATTAATTATTAATTATAAATATATATTTAATTAAAAATAAAAATAAAAATATATAATGATTTGATGGAAGGTTTAAAATTATTTTAAATAGTTAAGAAATCTTTTAAAATATTATGTCAATTTCATAATGCTACTGATATATCAATAAGCAAAGTAATAAGAAAATGCAAGTATTATGAATTTCACACCAACCTTTTATGTTTTGCTTGAAAGTCATGTAGTATTATATCATTTTCATTGAAAGATAAAATGTCAATTTTTTTTCTTCCTTATTGGAAATATAAAAAAAATTAGTAACAATTTCTAAAGAAAATTACGATTTCTTTTTCTTTTTAAGGTAGTTAAGATTGTGATATTCCCCTTTTGGGTGGATTATAAGTTAATTAGTGATTGTTGTCATATTTGTCGGCAATCCTCATCACAGCTAACCTCCAAACTCAGATCAACACGTGTCATCTCTCTACGCACTTGTCATAAATTCCCTGCATATCAGTGGCGTCACTCTATATCTCCCCTCCTCACCCAAAAATAAATTTCACCCTCGTGTTACTTTTTCTCGTTGTATTTCGGTTTCAAAGGTTGTTTGAGCAAAAAGCGGAAGAGTGGAACCCAGGCTATTCTCTCTCTTCACTATTTTTCTTGCAAAATTAAAACTTTTTTTTTTAGGGTTAAGGGTTTCCAAAACACAAATATTGAGTTCCCGATCCCCGATTTCCATCATTCAATCGCCGTCCTGTCACGCCACATCGTCTCCGGCTTCTTCCCGCCGTCCGATCGACCCTCATCCTTCGAAATTTGGTGGTGATTTCATTGGGAAATCAACAACCCGTGATTCCCAAATCGATTGCCATCAATCTCATCTGTTTTTCCGTTTCCCGTTCGAATTTCCAAGCTTTAGGGTTTGTGTTTGAAGAGGAATGTAAACATTTCGATTATTTTTTGGGTTTCTTTTTCTGCCCTGATCAAATTGTGTAAATTGGGTAATTAGGGTTTTTCATTTTGTCCGTATTTGTTTTATTTGTGTTGAAACGTTGGGATATGTATATTGAAGAATTGAAAGGAGGGGAAGTGATGGAGAAAGCTGGAGAAGTAGAAGAAGCAAATAAGAGTTGTGGAAATAGTGGGGTTTTGGGTATCAAAAGAAACGTTGTGGAATGGGATGCGAAAAGGGTGTTGATAGGTGCGGGAGCTCGTGCACTGTTTTACCCTACCCTGCTTTACAATGTTGTTCGGAACAAGATTCAGGCTGAGTTCCGGTGGTGGGATAGAGTTGATGAGGTACAGATTACTCGTATATGCTGTGCATTTTAAGTAATTGGTGCTGTTGGTGATGAGTGTTTCAAGGTTATATGGATGCTTTCTTGTTTTGTTATATGGTTTTAATTGGATTCTATGTGTTTATTTTTGTCTGTTTTGGTCAAGTGCTTGTTTAATTTAGCTTGCTTGTTTCAGATGATAATATTTGTGTCTAGGTTGTTAGGTTATTAGCTATATTGGTGTTGGATAATATTGTTCTGAATATGTGGGCAAATGCATGTTTATACATACTATTGTTCACATCATTCTGTAATTTGTTAAATGCACATGGATTTCTTTTATGGTCACATTGTGGGGTATTGGTTTGATTGATGTTTATGCTTGCTGGTGATGACATAAATTAGATTCTCATTTACAAGAGAAAGTAGTATATGGTTTTTAATTAATCTGGCTGATGTTGCTATTTTTGTGTTCTAAATTTCCATCAATTTTGAAGTAAAAGTGTTTATTTTCCTCATATTGTGGATGGATATAGCATTGCAGGGTGCATGATGTCACACTCACTCTCTCCTGATAGTCTTTGCTTTTTAACCTATCTTATGTTTTTTGTTCATTTTATTGGCGGATTCATGTTCATAAAAGCTCTAAGAGTCATATTTGTGTAGAATCTATCTTGTAATTTACTCTTCTTGTGGTGCACGTTTGTTTGACTAGTTCTAATATGTTCTTTTTACAGTTTATACTGTTAGGTGCTGTTCCATTCCCTACTGATGTTCCAAGGCTGAAGGAGATTGGTGTTTGTGGAGTGATTACACTAAATGAACCTTATGAGACTTTGGTTCCAACATCTCTCTATCTAGTGAGCATTCTGTTCTAGTATTTATGTTGTACATTTTTTTCTACTTTGCAAGACTTAGTATCTTTGTTCTGCAAATGTTTTCTCTTGTCCCCAATTTTGTGATTTTGCAAACTGAAAATTTCCTTTTAATTATATTGTTAATATTTTTGCATTTAACAATCAAGTACCTTGGATCCTTTGATTTTTGCTAAAGTTGTTAATTTGCTTTCTACGATTTTGTCGGTAGAATCATGGCATTGACCATTTGGTGATCCCTACAAGAGACTACTGCTTTGCACCATCATTGACATCAATATGCCAAGCTATTGATTTCATTCATCGTAAGTGTTCTTTGAGGGGGTTGGCTATTTTGGTTAAACTTATCTGCCGATGAACTTTTTCTTAAAAGAAAAGAGACATTGTTCAAATGGTTCTCCATTCTTTTGTATTAAATATCCCTTGGTAGAACTGTTCCCTTATTTTCATCTTTTTTATTTTTCAAGGAAATGCATCACGTGGGCAAATTACGTACGTCCACTGTAAAGCTGGTCGTGGCCGCAGCACAACCATTGTTTTATGTTACCTGGTTAGTGCCGTATAAAGAAGCTTAGATCATATTACTTATTGGTTGATTCATTGATGTGAGCTTTGGTTTCACATAGGTACACTATAAGCAGATGACACCTGTTGCAGCATATGATTATGTGAGGTCAATTAGGCCAAGGGTGCTTTTAGCCTCTTCCCAATGGCAGGTATAATGTCTTTGGTCTTACATTCTGCGATCAAGTTCAGCAATAATGAATTCATACGTCTATGTATTATAATAGAAAACTGTATTTTTTGAAACAATGAATTTGATTTATCTCTTTTTTTATTACAATCGCAGGCTGTTCAGGAGTTCTACTATCTTCAAGTGAAGAAGGTTGGTCTCCACAGCCATGTGGCAGATTTAATTTTAAGAACTTCAGACACAGCACCTTCACAAGACCTTGTGGCTTTTGATGATGGTTCTGTAGTAGTGGTAACAGAAGCAGATCTTGATGGATATGAACAAAGTCTTGGATCAGGTGCCGTGTGGGCAGATTTAAGTGTGGTATATCGAGTTAGGGTTGCTGGTCAGGCAGCACTGGCAAGAATCTCATGCTTGTGGCTACGCTGCCAAGCACACCAAAAGATTTCAGCCCAGGAACTTGGTAGAGAGAGCAGCTGCCTGGGAGGTATTAGTGTAGACATCCATGTCTACTGAAAACTGCAGTTACAACACCCAAGATGTTGTAGGTGTCTGTCTTCTCTTTTTATCCTTTCTCGTACATAAAATGCAAATAATGTTTCTTTAGGCCAAAGTGAAACTATGTTTCGTCTACCCTTGTAAATCGAGTTGTTATATCTTATGAATCAAACAAAAGATAAAGCCTAACTGCTTAAGGATCAAGTGTATATATTCTCATTTTATATGGAAGTAATGTTTGTGACCTGACAGAGGGCGATTGTGTTTGGGTTTGGGACCAACCTACGCTTCATGACTGCAATGCGGTTGTTAAGTTGCTGGATCATCTCTTATCTGCGTGCTACTTAAAACACTAACCATCAAGAGTATTACTACTGGCAAAGAGTGGTTATCTTGTCATATGTTGTTAAATTGTGTATGTCGAAATGTCTGTGCCAAGAATGAGGAGTCTCGACCTGTAATATAAATGAGTAACATTTAATTAATTTTAGTGTTGTCAGTGCCAACAAAAAGGGGTGATGGATCTCTTGTGGTAATTCAGCGCAGGATGCGTGTAGAAAGAAGTCGCATGATCTGTTGCAACGAAAACTGGGATATAAGCAATCTTCCCCACATGCTCTGCACCGGGCCCGAACCTCATTGCCAACATCCTTGTTTTGATCAAGGAGTGCTAATGGATGTGGATGGGTGAAATGTTGAATCATATCGGCACCTTTGGACTCTATCGTGGGTAGTAAGCGGCATTTGACATCCAGTTTGAAACGACACATCACACATCCCGCAGCCGTCGGTCAAGCCTGGGAGACTTTTCTCGCAACCCCCACACGGATAGGTGAGCAGAATCAGAGGGCATCGGTGGAAGAAATGATGGATCTTCTTGGAACGGTGGTCATGCAAGAGTTATGGAGGAAAAACTGCATTGCTGGCAGCCGTAGGCAGAATCGGAGCAGAGCTTTTCACATATGGCACAGCAAACTTTATGATCTTCTTCCTGCTGCTTCTTCAGATCAACAAGTGTTCAAGGATGCCAATGAGTGAAATGCTGAATAAGCCCCTCGCTTTCAGATTTTATGGCGGTTGGTGGGACGCATTCAACATGCATATTGAAATGACTCGTGACGCAGCGATAGCTGAAACCAGAGCCCGGCATGAAACAAGCATTACATTTGTAGTAGTAAAGCTTGAGGACAAGAGGGCATGGATGAAAGAAATGCTCGAGCTGCCGTGGAAGCCTAGCTCACTCGTAATGAAGGTAGAACTCGCAGTGGGTGCAGCAACCATAGCACGGGCCAGATATGGGTTTCTCGCACCCATCGCAGATAGCTGCTAGTGCATTTCCGTCCAGGATGAAGGACAAAGTATGTTTATGGAGAAAATGTTCAATATTTATCTCTCTTTAACTCTTTTTGCAAATATGTTTTAAGTCTGCTCTGAACTATATAATTAATAAACAATAAAGCCTAGGGCAGTTTCATTCTCTTTTTTAAAGAGGACATACCAGGACTTACTCTGTTTGCTTAACCATATTTGTGCAATTATTGGCATGAATTCTTACATTCCTCGCTTTACTAGACCAATTTCATGCATCTTTTTTATTTCACTTTATTCTTTGAATATCTTCCCATTTTAAGTGATTCTGTTCAAATAACTTCAAGAAAACTTGACAGAGTAAAAAGACAAACAGGAAGACAAGTCGGACCTCGCCCATCAAGGCAAAACAAATGTAGACCGACCGCTTTGTTTGCTCGCACCTTTTTCTTACATACGGCATCGAATCCCAAGCTTGGTGATTGAAGTATGACCAATAATGCCACTTTGAAGAGGAAAGAAATTGAGGAGGCATCTAATTGCTGCTTCAGCGTAGCCACCAAATATTGAATCAGCATCTGTACTGAAGTTTTAGGATACACTGAGCTAACCACTTGCAAGAAATTTAGTTATTGTTGGAAATTAAATAAAGAAACAGCAGGAAAGGGTCAGCCAACCAATGTAAAAGACTGTGTGACCCTTAAATTACTCAGAGACACCAAAATGTCAGCGAAATATTTGAAATAACAATAACAGGTTCACAGTAAATGCCTTGTATTATGCTTATTGCAGACACCAAATGGTTTGTAGATAACATAATTTTCATCTAATGATGCTAATAATTCAGGCTTATCCTCACAAGTGCTATTCATATTATGAAGTTCAGATTCCCATCATAGTACATATGCCCAACCTTTGTTGAGAAAAGGTTGGCAGAATTTTTTGGTAAAATTGCAGTGGTAGGCATCAAGAGTAAGCCAGTAAGATTATGAGGTTTGTATTCCATGTGTAGATGATCTTTAATGACCTCTATTGAATCTATAATTCAATTCATGTATTACTGTAAATGAAAAATAAAGATATGGCTAGTCTTTTGCAAGTCCAAGTAACTCCCTGAAAAAGCTCTGGACTGACGAGGGCCACTGGTAGTATGATGATCCATTAAGTATCAATTCAGATGATGCTTTATCCTGCAACCAAGGCACCTCTTGTTTTCTCTTGGGGCTTTGCCTCATCTTGTGATGAGATCCCTGCACTTTGGCATAACTACTTTGAATGCTCCCCACCATTGATGCTTGATCCTTCAAGTAAGGTACAACATGCCTTTTCATGTCTTTCCTGGATATTCCAAGATGGCCTCCTGAGACCCTAATGTAGTGGACCCTTCCAGCATCATCTAAGGCCTTTAAACCAATCCAGTCTTCTGTGTAAAGGTTTGTCTGCATAGATCATGGTATTGTTGACATGTAAAGCAAACCAAGCTCCCACTTAAAGTAGAAAAAGCATGAGCAGAATGTAAAACATTGATCTTGGCACAATTTGCTGCTAGACTTGAGGGGTATTGGGTCAAAAATTTCAAATTCAAACATCAACAAGATAAAATAGTACGAGGTAGCCTTACATTCTCCATGTTAGAACCAAGTAATTGCTGTAAGTTATCTTTAAGATCAAGGAATCACAAGAAGCTTTGAGAAATTAGATAACAAAGATGGGTGATTGCCAGCAATGCCTTCAAAGATTTGCATCCAAGGCCCCAGAGCAATCTAAATGCAGCAAATCTCAGTGCAAGATATCAAGATCCATTGGCACATGTAATAACTTTCCAACGGTTTTCTTCCCTTCAAATTCAAAATTGTGCTTTGGAAATGGTTTAAAGACTCTAAACAGCAATGCTAGTCGGGAAACTAAGGAAAGTATGCCATCACATTATTTTCAGCCATGTCTACAAGGATTCTTTCTTCTTTCCCACTGTCATTCTCTTTTCCTTTTTTTTTTTTGCTCAATTGTCACTCTCTTTTCTCTTTTCTAATATGTAAATCCTAACAGCCACACCAATCAGTCTTACATCAGAATGTGTCACACCAAAATGAGAATTTAAGCTTTGTTAGTGCAATGACAGTCAAGGTTATAGGATATGTGAATTTTTTTTTTTCTAAATTTATAGGAGATGTGAATTAGAACAGATATGCAGGGTATACAAATACTATGAGCTTAGATATGGATTATTTTTTACAATAACATATATAGCAAGATGAACTTTCAGAGATAGGCAGGCTATTTTCATATTTAAGAACAAAGAATATAAATAAATTTCAATAAAAATTTAAGAAAATGAACATTTTCAGGAGATGATTGAACCTCTTGAGGACGAATCACGGGCTTGAAGGCCCCATTTGGGTAGTAACCGAACCAAGAGGTTTCCCTTGGTATCAAGACATTGTCCTGCTCAAACTGTTTGAGTAGAAGATGAGCAAAATTAACAGATAAGTTTGCATATATTGAGACAATTAAATAAAAAAATTGAAAATGAAAAATGAAGCTAGGGGACCAATCTAGGTTGGAAAAGCTAAAAAGACATTCTTTCAGCTCACCATGATAAGCACCAAGTTTTGCAAGCGAGTGAATCTTTCCTTATAAGTGGAATTCCTTTCACCAGGGAGTTCATTGTTAAGCTTTGGAAGAAATCTACATTTTTCCAAATAATGAACTATATCCTGGAAATTTTGACATGATTGTTAAAATTTTAGTCTCTTGAAAACAAGATCTAAACACAACTAAGCATATAAAAGATTTTTGGTCGTGAAGCATCTGACTCCTGTTTAATTTGGTGAGTCATAGCTGTACAACCACTTCAACCAGTTAATAACAAGAGAATACGCAGTACAAAAACCCCCCATATATTCCGTCTCATTTTCCAGGTAGTAGTGTATGCTACTCACGTTTGGTAATTTTAGATAACCACTTGGAGCCAAATGGGCCTGCAAAGTGCCAATCATGTACCTGAAATTAGTAACAGTAGGAAAGTATTCTTACATTAAAGTTACAACGTTCCTTAAAAGCATGAATAAAAATTTGTATGTGTTAATGAGCCTCAGAAAGAGAGATGTATACTTGGATATAGTCGCTGTATATCTCTGACTTGATAAGCTTGTCAGCAATCAGGCACAGAAAACCAGACTGCAATAGCACAAGAATCACTTTAAAAACATACACTACAGATCCTGATAGGATTAAAGGAGTTTAAATTAGACTAAAACTGTTATCTACCGAGTCATTTTATCAATTCTATCAGGAAAATTATTCTATGACACATTTAGCTCATGTCGAGAAATACTCTCCATGACATCACGACGCATTGGATTATGCACAATGGCTTCCTAATGCATAGATAACATATGAAATCCTCTGTACTAGAGTTAGAAAGTAAGCACTGAAAATATGCAGTTGGTTCTTTTGCGCACAGTCAAACAAATCAGCTTTCTTGATTTGAACCTGTTAGGACCCAAAATACTTATTATCCCTTGATTTAATGTCAAATCTTGATAACCACCTCTTCAATCTTGTAACTATTCTGTGCAAGGTTCAATTTGAATCCAATAAATAAAATTTAAGGTTTGCCCATACTCAACTGGAGTTCCACAACATATGCTCAGTTTTTTAGAATTGACAGTGTTGGACATGCAGAATTTCCCAGGTATGGAACTAGAAGTGTATTAGTTTATCACCCAAAATGGTCCCATCTTATAATCATATAAAGGTCTTACAAGCAGCCTTCATACATGCCAAATCTAGTTCAATTTTTATCTCTAAATCAGAAATCTTTCTGAGAGGAGATAAAAAAAGTCTTTATAGTACTTACACCACAAAGAGGAACAGAAGCAGTACCAGCATGAGGCCCTCCTAAAGAGATAAAATTCTTTACCTGTGAAGAAAATTCAATTCATATTAAAAAGAATTCCTAGTATATTCAATATTGAGTCCAGACTCCGAAGTCCCTGACTAAAGAGTACATCCCAGCACTTAATACACACAACAAGGGAAGAGTGAAACAGTTCTAAAAAGTCAAGGGCATAATTAAGATAGGTTAGCTAACAAACAAAGATAAAAGTGCTTTCAGATTAATGTGGCTGACCATTGAAATCATGATGATTTGGAAAAACAGATGTAATTAAAGAGAGCACAAAACAGAGACCAACGACTAATGGTGGTGTAAAATTCATTAAATACATTATCAAAATCTTAACTTTTCCATTTTCCTCATACCTCCTTATACATTGCAAAACTTAGTTGATCTTATTCTGCAACAACTAGATAATCTTTTGAGCAAAAGATAAACCAAGAAGTTTTGGGTTCAGCTGGCTCTTACCTGAGGTCCACCGTCACAAAACTCTACAACACCTCGACCTATCAAGTTGCCCTGTCAAACCAAGTAAAAGATTGAGAATGACAGCCACATATGGAAGTTGCCTCATCATCAAACGAAAGAAATAACCAAACGATGATTTCTCTACTAGGCACCAGAAAGAAAAGGTGCAAGACTGAACACATCAATACAAAAATTATGGGGAGAAAAGGAAAAACACAGAGACAAAAATTTGAGATAAATCAATTGAATGGGCAATGTGTGAGAATTGATATGTAAGCTCTTAGTTTCTATTCTCAACGTTATGATATAATATAAAAAAAGAAAAATTTACATCAGAAATGTCAGGATAAAAATGGTGTTGAAAGCAAAATAGGGAGCACAAATTAAAGCAAAGACCCCTGAGGCTTGAGGAAGGAGGACACAGAAATGTATATTTTAGCAAAAGCTATTTTCTTAGATGGAAATCTCAAGGAACACCAAAACCCATTATTTATCATGGATTCAATATTTAAAATAATTCTTTGGTTAGGTATTTATGCATCAATTAGTTAATTTCATTGGAAAAACTTGAGTGGCACAATAAACTAACTTCATTTTTTGAACACATCATTTTTTCATGAAGTTTGCTGCATCAATATGTAAAAAATTTTAAGCTCTCTCATTACTTTAAAACATAAATTACCTGGGACAGACCAACTATGTTGTAACCCTTACTCAGTTCTTTCATTTGCTTCACCTGTTGGTAAGATACTCAAGTTGTCAAAGGGAAAATAAACTCCAAACCCAGACCAACAAAAGAAAACCAAGAACTACCCAGAAAGCTTTATCACCTTCTCACAAACGACAGCTGTCTGTAAACAAGCAACAAAGTTCGTCAAAGAAGAGACCAGACAATAATAAATGTCTCATCCCAAACGAGGTTACTTAAGAGATCTTTCCATGCTGTAAAAGTTTTACCTGTTCTTCCAGAGGCATAAACCAGGAATCCCATGTCCCATCTCCAATTTCTCTGCATGATTAAAAAGGAATATCAAGTCAAAATGTAAAAATAAAAAAGGAAAGGAAAAGAAAGAGAGTTGATGAAGCATACAAGCAATATCCTTTAGACCTAGAAAAGTTGGTGAGAAGTTCAGTGAACTGTTTGACTCCACGATTGGAACACTGATCTCCAATCCCTGAAAAAGAAAAACCCAGGAAAATTTAAGCTTGATATAGAAACATAGTGATTGGAAAGGAAAAAGAAAGGGATTACCATGGAGAACAATGAAGGGAATGGAATGAGAAAATTCGGTGATTGCTAATATAAGAAAGGAAATAAAGGCAATGGATTTAGAGGGAAAAGCCATGAAAAATTTTGTTTTTCCGAGAGGATTTTATTTTTTCCTTTTAAAAAATTTCGGCTCGGGATTGGTTTAGGTTCCTGTAACTTTTGAAGGGAGTTGTTTGTTGGAAGTTGGCCCAAGGTCTGAGCCTGGAGGTTTGTGATTGGTGAAAATATGACGAAAAACACGGAGGCATGAATTGGATGGGACGCATGTATTTGTCGGAGTGCACAGTTTCAGTATTGCTTCTTGAAGTCGCCAATAAGAGTTATGAGGTCGATTGCCTCTGCTCTCGTAGCTTGTGCACTTGGTTCCGGTGTGACCTAGCCTACCTTCTCTTCGGGAGGAGCGCCAATTCAATCATTACTGCATACTATTGTTACACCATCAAAAGAAACAACATAAGATTCAGACCCAACGACGCAAAACCAGACCATTCAAAAATTGTTCAAGCTGTCAGGAATCCTACGAAATTGGAATCAAAGTCATACCCTTAATTAGAAAATTTGAAATGGGATGGACGGAGTAGTCCAACCTATTTCCTGGATGGATGGATGGGCATCCAACTTTGCTTACCGTAAGAGTTGGGTGGAAGTAAGGATAGAGATAGCTTCATTGGTCATTCTCCTTTCTTACATTTGCCATCAAATCCACCTCGTATATAAGTGACAAAATTGCCGCTTTGAATAAGGAAAACTGAACCCGTTTTGATTATTACATATTTTATCTCCCAAGTTCTAAAAAACCAAATGCTTAAATTCACAAATCAGAAAAACATCTTCTCATGAATATTTGTTGCTTCTCGTGAATAACTCAGATAGGTTAGCTGACAAACAGAGTCAGATTACTGAAAGGTGGCTAACCATTGACACCTAGACCATGATGATTATTTGACAAATATAGACGCAAACCAAGGGAGCACAAAACAGAGACAAACCTAGCAGTAACTGTGGGTGTGTAAGAAATCGTTTCATACATCATCCAAATTTGGTTAGAAAGGTGTAGATAACAAAACAGGAAGGACAAATGAAAGCAAATACCCTTGTGGGTTGGGAGAGGAGAAACAGCAATGTATATTTTATCAAAAACTACAGTCTTACGGAAAGATGGAGCTGGCAAGGAACTCCAAATCCCATTATTATGATTTATTTAAAATACGCATGACCTCTATTGCTATTAACAGCTGAGATTTTGGACATCAGTAAGTCAAATTCAGTAGAAAAACTTTAATGATGCTACAATAATGTATCTTGAATCTTCAAACATAATACTATTTCTCCTTTGAAATGTTCGCCTGACACTGCCATGATCAAGATGGACTCAAGGTGAAGCTTCAGTCGAATGTTTGAAATGTTCGCCTGACACTGCCTTCATCTTGTGTTTTAGCTCATACATGTACAGGAAACGATCCTCCTCAAGTTTATCTAGTCCCCATGTTATTGGCTCTAGTTTTGCTTTAAGTTCCTGTAACCTTGCTTGCAGTTTCTGAATTAATCTTTCTAGGGACTCAATTTCTAATTTTAAAGGCTTTGCCTTTTCTTTACGTTTTGTGATCTCTCCGTCTAACTTTGCAAGCACGGGGTCTTCATCTGTGGAAATGATTCTGCTGCTCGTTGTACTCTGCTCATCTGAATTAGTTAAGAATGATAACAGCTGACAAAAAACCAAATATTCATTAATCAAGACTTCAAAATTTGATCTTTAAAATTATAAGAAATTGACATTGTTGACAAAATTTTCAAAGCCAGTCTTAGACTTCCTCTAAGTTATATAACTAGGAATTCATCTGATCCTCATTCAAAGAATTTATATGAAAGTTCATGACAAGGAAAGGAGCAAATTGTAACAAATAAAAACACGTACTTACCAGGGAGATGACACAGCCCGTTTCAGCAATAAATTTGCATGTTACACAATAATAAACTTGATTGTATTTGTCTCTTTTTTCCTCACAGACGTCACAATAAAACTCGTCATCCATGTTATATGCATCTTTTGGTGAATTCAATTCAAATTCAAAAGGAGATTCTGTGAGAGTTAAAGGATGTATGTGGCATTTATGGTTTATTGTTTTTGGCACTGAGAGATGGCAGTAGAGATGGATGCTAAACCTACATGCCACACATCGAAGGCAGAAGTTGTTGGCTTTCTTACGACAAATGTCGCAGTAAATTCCATCTGTTTTATCAATGAGAGTGAGAAGGTGTGGGTGAGGTCCATACTTAAAGGAGGGTGTGAGCTTCGCACAGTCCTTATGAAGGGTAAATTCACATTTGTCACAGCGATAGGCTAGCAGAGACCTGACATCCAATCCGCATGCCGCACAATAATACTGAAAATTTTTGAGTGGAAAGGATGAGAGGGTGATAGGGTGTTGGGAATGAAAGGGATGATGGATCTGTTGTGGTAATTCAACAGCACAGGATCTGTGAAAAAAGAAGCTGCATCTGCTACAACCAAAAGTATACGTAGGACCTGAACAAATTTCCTCACATGCTCTGCATCGAACTTCACTGCCATTTATATTTTCACGGAGTGCCAGTGGATGCTGGTGACTAAAATGTTGAATCTGCTTGGCATCTTCAGATTTTACAGTGGGAAGTAAGGCGCATTTGACGTCTAGTTGAAAACAACACCTTCCGCAGCTGAATGCCAAGAATGAGCCACGTTCATCACAACCCCCACACGTGTAAATGAATGGACTTGTGAGCAAAATGAGAGGGCATGGGTGGAAGAAATGATTGATCTTTCGTGGAATGCTGGTCATGCAAGAGTTATGGAGGAAAAATTCACATTGCTTGCAGCCATAAGCAGTTGCAGAACCAGAGCACAGCTTTTGACAAATGAAACAACAAACTTGATCTTCTTCCTTGTTTTTCTCAAGAACAAGTTGTAAAGGATGCCAGTGAGTGAAGTGCTGGATAAGCTCCTCACCCTCTGATTTCATAGCGGGCTTTAGGGCACATTCAACATGCATATCAAATTTACATTCCTCGCAGCGATAGCTAGAACCAGCGCCAGGTTCGATGCATAAATTACAATTATAGACAACGGGAAGCGGTAAAACCTTGAGGACAAGAGGGCATGGGTGCAAGAAATGTTCAGTCTTGGGTGGAAGCTCAGCACAGTGATCATGGATGAAAAACTTACACCTGCTGCAACCATACGTCGGGCCAGATAAGTGTTTCAGACATCGACTGCAGAAAAGCTCTTCGTTTCCCTTGTCGATGAACGAGAGGGGATGTCTATGGAGAAAATGTTTAATGATATCCATCTCTCTTTCAGTGCTTTTCTGCAACAACAATGAATCCAAAATCCAAATCCTTAACTTATTCAGACGATGACAGAAAATTGCCCAACCAAAGTAAAACAAGACAGAGTAGAGACAAAGAATATGTTTGAGCCTCCAAAGCCCTGAGACTGATATCTGTGGGATCACAATCTATTCACAACCGTTCAGATGTAATGGAAACTTTGGTAGAGAAGGAAGAATATAAAAAGTTTAAAAGAAAGAGAATCAAAGCCCTGTTTAAAGAAAGCGTGGATTGGGGGATCTTTGGGGTTAAGGAAGGAAGGGATGCCGTCTCCAAATGGATAAGGTGCAATGCGCCGCTTTAAATGCACCATCAGTCCTGTACAAAATTGAAATTAATCCAATTATGATTAGCATCCTTAATTTGTCATGATAGTATTTTCGCATAAGTCGATTTTTTAATTATTGTTTTTGATGAAATTTTCAAATTTTTTCCTTGAATAATGAATTTATAGTTTACCGGAAACAATTTTTAAAATTTTTAAAATGTTGGGATTTTGGTTTTTTTTTTGTGAATTTAAAGTCATTAAATGGAACAAAATTGAATACAATGTTATTTTCAAACATTTTACATTTCCAAAACATCAATTTTTTATTTTTTAGTTTTTAGTTTATCATCAAACTAATAATTGACGCTCACCACTTTCAGCATTATTTGCCACTGTCATTTTCAATGCCGGTCTTAGACTTCATTAAGTTGTAGAACTAGTAATTCATTTAATACTCATTCAACGAATTTGTATAAAAAGCTTGCAACAAATAAAGAAATAAATTGTAACAAATAAAAATGTAAGCTTACCCCGAAGACGATACAGTTAGTTTCAATAATAAATTTGCATGTTACACAATAATAAATTTAATTTTTTTATTTCTCTTTTCTTCATAAATATTATAATAAAATCTGTCATTTATATATATATATATATATATATATTATGGGAAATTCAATTCAAATGTAAAATGAGATTTTGTAAGAGTTAAGAGGATGTATAGTAAAGCATGGCAGTGGAGATGGATGCTAGACCTACACACCACACATTGAAGGCAGAAGTTATAGGCATGCTCATGACAAATGTCGCGGACAATTCCAGATGTTTTTGTCAAAAAGAGCGAGAAGGTGTGGGTGAGGTCATGCTTAAAAGAAGAAGTAACTTGTAAGCTTAGCACAATCCTTCTGAAGGTTAAATTCGCGCGTGTCACAGCTGTAGATTATTGAGACCTGACAAGCATGCGGCGTGCCGAACATTGATGAGAAGAATCCTTTAGTGGATAGGATAAGGGGGTGAGAGGGTGTTGGGGAAGAAAGGGGTGATGGATCTGTGGTGGAAATTCAACAGCACATGATCTGCGCAAAAAGAAGTCGCATCTGCTACAGACAAAGGTACATGTAGGACCTGAACAAGTTTTGGATGCCGCTGAGTAACATCCATCTTTCGAGACAAGCATTACGTATATAGAATAACATCTTGAGGACAAGAGGGCACGGGGTCCAAGAAATTTTGCATCTCTTCTGGAAGTTCAGAGCCGGATTTAAGAATTTAAACTTGCAGTCTTTACATCCATAGACCGGAACCGGTAAGCCCTTTCCACAACCCCAACAGACAACTTCATCATTGACCTTCTCCTGCTCAGTGAGCATCAAGGATGCCCATGGAGAAAATGATCAACAATCTCCATATCCCTTTGTTTCTACAATCCCAATTGGACACGCATGCCACTACGAAAGAGGCATTAAAAAAGCATGCTGATTGCTGAGAGAGAGAGACAGAGGAGAGCCTAAGAAAAAAGGTCAACCGAGAGCAGTGCAATGCAAGAGTTTCTTAATTTCTTTGACTAGCGCTTTGGTTATTGGGTTGACAAGGATTTAAACCCATCTAAGCCCATTTAAACAACAGCAAAAAGAAGCATATGAGCCTGTTGGCTTTTGGGTCAATATTCTTTTTAGTACGTACACTTGAACGCCCACATGAGATAAAAGTAAAACAGCACCCCTAGAGACAGAACAAAATTATCAAAATATCTCAACTGGTATCTTTAATTGGGGAAAAAGAAAGATAGAAAGCCTTCGCACTGAAAAAGGAAAAAAAAAAAAGGAAAGCATTGTTGCCAACTATAATTAACACTGAATACTCAATTTACATGTCCATTTTAATCATTTTTAGCAGATTTTATGCTTCACGGCTTTATTTACGCTAGCAACTTCTTTACAAATTGATTTTCCTTGTCTACATGTGAATCCAGTATCTGGGTATAAAGGATCTTCATGCTTATCAGCATTGCAGCAGCTAAAAGAACCATGCCTGCTATCATTGGGACTGCAAAAATTTGAACCATAATATGAATTAACCATTAAATTCAGTAAACATCAGTTGTCAACAATCATCAATAAGAGTTTCTGGTGCCATTTTTGTGGCACCTGTTCACAGATATTATAAAATTTTAGAATTGCTTGGTGTTAAGTAGCGTTGATAGATTCATGTAGGCTAGCGCCCAGCAGCACAGACTGTTCATAAAAGTATATCAATCACCAACTCTGCCGAAAAAATAAAGAAGGAAAATGAAAGAGCCAGCAGAGGCCTCCACAATTAGGCCATGTGTCGGCTGCTGAGCTATCTGCCTCAACAATAGTGCTAACGTCAATGGAGAAATAAAAATTAAAAATAAATAAACAAAAACTTACTGCCCTTTGAACTGAGAAGAAAAAGCAAATATCAATGCCAAAGTAAACGCTTGAAAGGAGAAGTCACTAAGATACGATACAGTGATGAATTAAGGGTGGAAACATGAAGTTGATCAAGTTCATGTTTGCTGGTGCACAAATCTGTTTATTACCAATGAACCTAGAAGCTACTACAAACATATATATATATATATACATGAACTCCGATGCATGGAATTTTTTGTTCTGGAGTTCCTGACCTGGCTAATCAGATTGTTCATCTAATACTTGTTTCATTTAATTTGTTGCATCAGGATCACCAAATTCGAGCAAAGAAGACAGAAGCTAAAATAGCCAATCTATGTATCACATTAAGAAAGAGAATTGATGAGACGTTACCTTCTTGTCGTGCTAAATGGAACCATCCTGTTTTAGACTGGAAGCCGAAGTCCTGACGTTCAGGCGAGTCCCAAGTTAGCCCGAGACCGAAGCTGCTGTCGGAAAGATAAGAACTGTATGCAAATGGAATTGCGACAGTTTTTATTGTTCTGCAACAATCTGGCACGGGGACGGAAGATTCGACAGTATAAACATGGTGTTGAGGACCACTTAAACATGGGACTTGGGTGACAGAGGGCCCAATCGAAGCTGAACAATTGAAGTACGTATAGTTCTTCAAGACATGGTAGTAATCAAATGGAGTGAGGGAAAGATTGAGGTTTAGAAAAACTTCATGGACACAATTTTTGGGGTCAAGGAGATTTAGTTTCCTTGTATCATAAGAAATGGATTTGACAACCAAGTCACCGTAAGATGGGAAGTGGATCATGATGGAGTTGTTTCTGCAAAAAAGATCAAAGCCTCGGTCACCACAGTTTTGGGGCTGACGGGGTTTTAGTCTGAAAGGGAACCTGATATCGAAAGCACCATGACCAAATTTTGCAGGTGGGCAGCTGGACTCAAAAGCCTCTGTACTTGAAAGAACTAAAGAGAAAAGCAGAATGAAGAAGACCGAAGTATCCATTGCACTACAGTATAACGCCAAGAACGTGACGAATGGACCAGGCTAGTAAATGCTTAGCTCGGACTTTGTTTTCTTCTGAGTTCTTTATGTTATATATATGAAAAGTTGAGAACTTAAAATGGTTTAAAAAGGGGAAAAGTAAAGGAGTAGTCCAGCACGCACACACAAGGACCGAAGCGTGGAGGACCACCAAGTCAATGAATATTGAGCGGGCCCTTAAGTAACTAAATAAGATTCTTTACTCTTCTCTCTTTTCTTTTACCCTCTTTGCTAGGAAACATTAAGCAAGACATTCGACTTGACTTAACGACTGGTTTCTTCCAAGTTTTAACAACCTTTTTCCGTCAAGTTTGTTAAGCAGGCAGGAAACTTCCTTGGAGAAGTTACAAATTAAAAGGACTTTTATTCATTGGGGCCAACTGATCAATGATCAAGTCTATAAATCCCTCTAGATTGTGGAAATTGTAGCATTACTTTTCAATTTTGTGGACCACTATAGCCTCTGCGCAGGCCTTTTTCTGCAACGACTTGCTTTTAGTCTCCCTCTCAATCGCCTTCAAAAGCTTTTATTCTGCTCGAGTGAACGCCCTTAACAACTCTTTTCCCCATATAAAGTTCATTTTGTTTCGTGTTAGTTGCGTCACTGAATGTTTGTGACGACTTCTCCAACACTCGAGGAATCATCCTTACCAATAATGCACGGCACCTATTTTTCCCTACGGTTCCAGCATTATACTGTCCCCACGCAGATGGAGATTTTGACATCAAGTCTGGAGAAAGTAACAAGAGGAACTGGCTGGCCTCTTTACCGATCTTGCTGAAGACAGACACAAAACAGAAGACAGATCCCAACATAAAACAAAGTCACCTTTACCTCTCGGCAAGTATACATTTACATTCACTGTGTCGGTTTATAGAAAATTTTGCTTAAACTGAGATGATAGATAACTTCAGCATGATACATTGCTGTCAATTATAAACTATGGACATAATCCAGTTCATCCAAATCAATGTAGATTCATGCGTTCACAACTGGAGAACCCATCACCCTTCTAGCCATACAAGCAATAACACAAAATTCAAGCTTCAATAAAACCTAGAACCAAAGAGAAATTTTATGTTCGATGAACAAAGAAGTCAGAATATAATAATTTTCTCACAATTTGCTGAAGGAAATACAGCTAATAATACAGAATCTGAATATTTGGCCAGGATGCACAATATTCGGAGAGTGATAAATTACAAAAACATGGAAATTCTTTCAAATCTAATAGTATCTAGTAACAAGCCACGACTTCAAGGGTTATACTCTAAACAGATCTAAATCTTAGCACCGTAGTAAAGGAATAAGTTGAGGCATGAGCACACATTTTAAAATAAAAATGAAGTCAACAGCATCATCACTGTACCTTGAAGAGCTCTGACATGTTCTCTGATGCATTTGGGACCATATGCTAGAAGAACAAATAATAGAACGAACCCAAAAAGAAACAATTACAGTTGGAGAAAAGATCATAGGAGTTCTTTGGCAAGCCTCACTGGCTTTTCTTTCAGAAATGAAGCATCACTATTTGGTGTTGTCAGCAGATGATGATCTGAATCCTCTTCCTCACTCTCTGCTGTTAATGATGTTGCAGCAGAATCTAATATCTCATCATCTGCATTGGAAGAATATCTTGATCAAAAATTTGACAGCAAAAGTGATCAGAAAGTTAACAAAACTTAAACAATAAGCAAGCATAGCAACACAGAATAATTGCTTTTAGATTTTCAACAGACAATTAAACTCATATGTAATGCAATTTGCACATGGTTATTCACAGCCCAAGTTAGCAGAACAGCTCCACTGTTCTCAGGGTCCAGAAAACTATGTGCAAATGCAGTGTCAGAATTCATAATGGAAGCAACCAAGCTTCTAAACCATTTGCAAGACAATTATAAATTCAATCAGTGCAGCAGTGAAACTGATAAGCAAATTTGGTGAAACTTGTAGAGAACATGACAAACCTTTGAGACATGGTTGCCAGAAGAAGCTTACCAGAATATGTTGGATGATCAGGAAGATGCCGAACTGCAGTAACTTGAATGCTTTCTGGAAGTAGACAGTTGCAAAATGAACCTGAAACATCAAAAACCTGTTTGATCAGATAAAGGGAATTGCAAGGACTACACAATCCACTGTTACATATCCTATAAGTGTTAGAAGCTATTCTGTCCCATCCTTCAGACCCTACATAACATGAAGAAGGAAATGGTAGACATTCATATAATGGTTGGAACCATCCAACCTCTGGGCCGGAATAATCAGGAGCTAGCATTAATGCAATATCTAACAATCCGAGATTCTTTTATAAGCATGCCATATGAATATGCAATCTACCACCACTAGAAACCATAAATACAATACAGCTTCTTAGATAACATGAACATGAAAGCAGACAGTTTTCCGACCTAATCGAGCCAGCCTATTTACCCATCCAGGAATAGGCTTTCCAGTTAGCTGCAGGCACACTTCATCGGTGAAATGGTTGCAATTCTTAGCAATTAAATGATACGTGTCTCCATGGTACTTTTGTGAAAGCTGTTCCATAAATGCCCGAAATTCTGAACGAGACAAGTTAGTGCTGCCCAATAGTACTGATCGTCTGAAGACAAAACCAGGACAACTTCTTGGTTCCACTTCAAAAACCCCACTTGTAGGATACTCGTGTGCTCCAAAGCCATACTCCAAATCATGTACTGATTATCAAAAATGGAACAATAGGTTAAAATTCACAGAAATTTTGAAAATAGTAAGCGGGAGAAATCAAAGATTAACATATTTTAATAAATAAGAAACTATCAAAAGAGGGGGACTATGAACAAACTTCATAAAACAGTTAGCAAACAGAGATCAAATAATGCCATCAGTGTAAACAATAATTAAATTGCATAACTTGCTTGGAGACATTAATGAACCACTGGATCCCTTTCTTTTTCCCCTTTTTTTTTAATATCTTCTTTGAAAAGTTTTGTTAAAAAGAACTGCATCATATCCTGTCATGTCTGTATGTCCAAGGCTATTCATCAAATAACTAAGCTTAATGTAAAAAACTAGCAATGCCAATCAACTAAATCAACTAGATACTCAAGACAAAATTATCTACATCTGAGCAGAAAGTTCACGCATGAGAACAAGAACTAACACCCAAATCAACATAAAGGAGAGTTGATACCTTCAATACCAGAGTGGAATATCCCAAGCCCAAACAAGTACAGGTAGTCATTTATAGGTGTGAGATCATATACATTGAGATACAACAAAGCGCGATTGCTTCCTCCATTACTTTGCCCCTTTGTTACACTCGAATTTGAAGGAAACAACCGCATTGTACCCTTAAAATCTAACCTTCACTCGCCAATGTATATTAGAGGCTCCTCATCCTCTGCACCAGACCAAGAAAACAAATATAAGGGTTCTATCAACAAGGCGTCAAAATTTAATTAATACACAACAACAAAAATAATTCAAAAGTAGTTTCAGAACAGCTACTGCTTACCATAATGTCATAACAGTTGGAACTGGAACATACAAACCCAGAAAGCAAAAGTCCCCAACAACCCATTTGGTTACCAAGAAAATAAAGCAAAAGAAAAGAACAGCTTTTAAGTATTGGGTTCCTTTTTTTCTTTCCAAATTGTGTAAAATTAAGAGCCGGAGGAATTAACTTTCCCTTCTCTAGGTTTCCCAGGAAACTCCAACAGAGCATACATGAAAATTAACTAACTTTTCCGAGTAAACATAGTGAGAGACAGCAATAAATCCAAGAAAATCAAATGGTGAACAAGAAATAAAAGCATAAACAACAAAAATCTTAGGGAAAAAGAAAATTGAAAGCTTTGTAGCTAACCTATGAAGAGGAGACAGTGAGAGAGCTTAAAGGCAACAGCTTTGGGGCAGAGATCAAAGAAAGAAAGGGAGATTTCCGGTAATTCAAGCAACTCTCTTTTTTCTTTTCAGAAAGAGAAAATAGAAGATACATGAATCATGGAGCTCTTTTTCACAAATAAAAGTGAAGTTCAAGTTTAATTTGTTTGGGTATAAAAAGTTGTACAAGAATTCAGGACTTCATAAGTTTATTTAATCAATCTCTTTTACAATACTAAATTGGATAAACGGTTGGGATTAAGAATTTAGAATCGTAGCCTGTATTTAATATAATCTGTTAATCATTTATTTTCCTTTAGATCCCTTTCTTGTTTTCTTTTAGGTTATCAGAGTTTATAGCCAAAATTTTAATTATTTATTCAATTTATTTATTGGGTCAATGTGTAAAGGAAGCTTTATTTAATTTTTCTTTTCTTTTGAAAAGATTGTGGAGTGACTAAATTTTAGAGTAGTTGCTTTGAGAAAAAGTTACAATTGGAGATGATAATTCCGATATTTAGTAAGTAATATCTGTTTAATTTCAATAAGATTTAGATAATAATTTTAAAATATTAATTGAGTTTTTATAGAGTTTGAGTATATAAATAAATAATAAAGTTTCAATAAGAATATTTT